GGGGGGGGGGGGGGGGTGGTTGTGGATCCGGCGTATGAGGAGGTGAAGTAACAGTGTTTCAAAATCGCCTGCCGAATTGTTGAAGGAGCATATTGTGCTCAACGTCGTTGGAAATGTTTGCTTTCTCAGTGCAACTTACAGCTTGATAATCGTGGTACGTGGTCGAAGAGGCACTGGCAGAATTATAAAAGTCTGCAGGGAATGAATATGGCAGTTGCCATAGGGCTCGCAGTCTGCCGTGCTAAGGAAGAACGCCGTATGAGCCTTCAGACGTTGCCAAGTATCCTCCAATAAAAACCGATTTTACTGGGAAAATTCTGAATATTATTTTCCAAAATTGTCGGACAATTTTGTACGCAATTTAACCTAAGATATCTGAAAATTTCGAGGAAAAATGTGCATGAATGTTGCGAAAAAATACATTTCTTTTCAATGGAAATTTGGCAACTCTCGAGTGTTCATACGGCGTTCTTCCTCAGCACGGCAGCAGTGCTTTGTAGACTGAGTAGATAATTTTTCATGGACAAAAAAACCGCGCATGTCGTGTACTGATCATCAGAACATTTCAAAAGATCACTCGCTCTCGCAAGCAAATAGCTCTCAGCAATGAAGGTAATCTTGGATAACGCGTCCAGTGAAGGTCCTCCTCTATTTTGAAAAACAGTTGGTTCTGAGACGTACTGCTAGGCTCGATAAAGTAACTCTACACCCGACTAATATGGTCTACTGAACACATAACTCCTAGCTAGACGAATCTATGATAAAAGGAACTATGGTTGACTCAAATCCTATACACATAGTTTCTTTTACAGCATAAATGCCTCCAACCTCAAATACACGTGCCCTCTCCGCTCCAGGTCGCTGAAAATAAAGTTGCACAATGAAATGAGAAAGACATACAGGTGGTCGTTCAAGTAATACCTACGTCATTTTGTCCGACTTTTGACACCCCCCCCCCCCCCCCCCNGGTAAAAGGCGCCCGTTGGACAAATCATCAACTCCAATGTTTCATTACGTTAGATCGGCTCATCCCTCCAGCCCCCTTCCCAACATAAGTTGGGAAGGGGGCTGGGGGAGTATAAACTCCAAAAAGCGAAGAGGTCCAGCCATAGTTGACCCCTGGTGGCAAAGGTTAGAAACTTCTAGGTGACTTAGAACTCCGATTATTTAAGAGCACCTGAAAAACGTTTCCAAAAAAAATAAGTCACCTTTTTACCATGATACGTTTGTTTTTGCAATTGCTCCACTCTAAATTTACTTTTATTTTATCGAGTTGAAGGGAGCGCCCATAAATTACGCAGCAAATTTTTTCGGCATCAATGACCCTCCTCCCACTTGGAACGCTTTTATGACGCAGGTCCCTATCCGTAAACACATAAAAACAAAACGCTCTCCACAATACCCTTTCTCCCCTGAGCGTCACGTAATTTATGAACAGTCCCACACTGAAAAAAAAGTTACAGACTGTATAGACATACTATTCGTTCCGGGCTCAAAGGCCGAAAGATCCGAGTGCTGGAACCGTTGCTTCGACTGATCCGGGTGCTGGAGCCGTTGCTTCGACTGATCCGGGTGCTACGCCTGGAACTTTCGGCCTCTGAACCCGAAACGCGCACGATAAGTCTATTCGGCCGGAGTTTTTTTCTCAGTGCAAAATAGGGTCGATAAGACCCCGAACTATCTTAGCCTTTTGAACATCAACATTTTTTGCGCCTCGGTTGGTCATTTCTCGTGGTTTTTTTTATCATCGTCGTAAGAATCTGGTTAATTCCGGTAAGTCTGTCAATCGTGTGTTGTGGAAGTGGAGTCGGCGCGCGCGTAACTCGAAGCGAGACGGCGAGCGGCTCCGCCCGACACGGTGCGCGGCGTGGACGTCCAAGTCCGACATCGGAGATGCCGAAAATCATCCACTGTTACGCCACTCGCCGCTGCTCATGCCGTCTTACGCGCCCGCCAGTCCAGTGCCCGTCGGTCTTCTTTCGGCGCAGGTGAGCAGCACCGGCCTCCCGGGCCGCCCTAAGTCCTCACACACCTCTGCTCGGTCGCCGAAATCCCGGAAATCGCCGAGTTCTTTGCCTCCGTTTGGAAATTCGCGACGATTGCCGCATCGTCGGAGTCTGTGAATGAAGTGCGCGAATCGGCCATCACTCGTCTTCGCCAACTAATATTGCGTGTATCGCCAAATTTGTGGAAATTGCTCGTTAAAGAAATATGCGGCGACCTTCAAATATTAGGATTATGCAAATGAAGTAGGCGAATCGGCCCCCACTTATATCTCCGGTCGGTCATTTTGAGTGCGACGCCTTTGCGGAAATCGCTTATTTATATAGTTCTTGCGGGAATTTGTGACGATCTTCTGACCTTAGGATTGTGCGAATGATTTAGGCGAATTGGCCTCCACTTGTCTCCGGTCGGTCATTTTGAGTGTGACGCCTTTGCGGAAATCGCTCATCTATGTGGTTCTTGCGGAAATGTGGGACGATCTCCTAACCTTAGGATTGTGCGAATGAAATGCGCGAGTAAGCCGTGATCAGTCACCACGCGAATCTCTGGCGAAAATCGCTGACTTCTGTGGTTCCGAACGTAAGTTTGCGACAATTTTTGCGTTTGCGTCAGTGCAGGGTCTAGCGAGCGGAATTCGCGAGTGAGGTGCGGGCATTGAGTGAGCGAGGAAATGAAGTGAGTGAATACTTCAGCGAGAAAATGAAAATTTTCGACACTGGCATGTTGCTTTACGCCTTTCCAAGAAACTTAATTGTATGAGTTTGCAAGGAATTTTGTGGGTTCGCGAGTAGGTTGCTGTCAGCCGTCGCGCTTTTGCGCAAAATTCGCAAAAATCGCTGTCGACGTTTCCATTCGGAAAGTTGCGACGATTTTATCATTGGATCGCGCGCGAAAATCTTGGACGGAAAGTGTGGGTGTGAAATAANGGGGGGGGGGGGGGGTAGTGCGTGCAAGTGAGGTATGCGAAAAAATCGTGTAAAACACCGTTAACAAATTGCATCACCGCGTCTCAAGGCAGACAACCTTTCAGGTTTACAAGAGATTCTCTTAGTTCAGAGCGATTGGAAAGGGGTTAGTATGAAGCCTAAACTAGGTATAGAATTTGAATGTCAGTATACCTACGTTAAGCTAAAAGCTTTGTGTTCAGAAATTGAGGGTCCATGGTATGGGGTTTTTGCGATCGTCTCAATGTGGATGATCGCAAGACTTCGAGTACCAGGTTCAACGGCTGAAGTTGCGGTTCATAGATTTGGAACCTCCGGCTGGTTACTGAACCCGGAAAGCTGACTCTACAAGCGTGCGTTATGGTTCTCGACTTCATGCACGTAGCATATCATGGTTGACAACGCTTACCTAGACTCCTCTCGTCACGTGTGTTTCTGCAGGCAGAATAAACAATCCGTTAAAATTCGTAAAATTTCGCATGGCTTTTTCTCTGACCTTAACCTCGCGTCGGGTTCGAGCATTGAATTCAAGATCAGAATATGCCAAACCTCGAGACGCAACCTATATTATGCTCACGAATTTTCGTGTGAGATACACGTTTGACCAAGACTAGTAGACTCACAATCAATGTCTGCAGACTTCTTTATCTCATTGTCAGTTCTATTTTCTATCAAGCTAGAGAAGAGAAAGTACCGGTGCGTTTGTGACATCGCCGCATCACATTCTGTTCTGAGAATTATTACGACGGTGTCATTTTAATGTGCTGCGCGTTTCCCTGGCCACTCATATATTTCTGTATTTTTCCGCATATTTCAGTCAATTACATTACGCGACCGTGAACTGGAAAAGATCTGCATTCTCAGTCGCCCATAGAGTGAAAGGTTTTTGTGAGATGCTGCCATTCAGATTTCCGTTGGGTGATTTCGATTTATATCTTTTGGCACATTCCTCGGAAAATGTCCCATTTTTGGCAAAGGTTTTGGTTCATCAGCTTCGAATCGGACCAGTGACGTTACGTGACTTGCGATACATCGTTTTTTAAGTCATTTAAACCCATGGAAAAGGATCGATAAACAGGGTGTTCGCATGCGAACACCATAATTATCGATTCTTCACCATAGATTTAAATGGCATAACAATCGATTTATCGCAATTTGCGCCACGCCACTGAATCGGACCCTCTGGACCCGAACTTCTTGGTTTCGCCCCTGTCATAGACAATTACAGACCCCATTCTAAACTCTTTGCGATATGTGAAAACTTTTACTTTTAATGATTCAACATTTATGGAAAGTTATTAGGCAACAACAAGCATCTACCTTGTCGTTAATTAATGAGCTTCAGGTGATGCAGCACCTCCAACAAGTCTTCCAAATATGAATTGCATTTAGCAAGAAAGAACTAAAATTCAAAGGAAAAAAATCAAAATGGAAGTTTTATTCGAGTGTTGGGGAAAACCAGGGAATCCGAAAACTTTGGAGTCAGGGAAAAGTTCGGGACAGTCTGGGAATTTGAAGATGAAGAAATTACAGCAACCTTGACGAACTTCTGCTACCTTAAAATTGTCCATGAAGAAGCGTTGAATCCTCAAAAGTTAAAGTTTCCACCTGTCGCCAAGAAGCCTGCGGGCTGATTGTTGAAATTGCTAGACAATGCGATAGACAAAGAAGACATAGGTAGCACGAAGCCATCCCATTGGTTGAAATGAGTGGTTCCTTTAGACCACGGAAGAAAACGATGGAGTAATTATCAGGTCTCCCGTGAGTTGTCGTTAGTTAGCCTATTACCTACCTCATTTGTCCATTCCAACCACCCGCCTCCACCAAAAAGCTTCCTCTATACATATATCCCTGATGTCTTCTTTGCCTATCACTATGTCTACCAATTTCAATAATCAGTTAATAGACTAAATAACGACCAACTAACTCATCCCTGTAGTTAGTCCATCAATTTCTCCCTTAGTCTGTAGCAACCACTCATTTCAACCAATAGGATTGCTCCATGCACCCTAAGTCCTCTTCGTCTACCGCTACGTCTACCAATTTCAATAATCAGCCCGCAGAAGAGCGTCTCTTGCACTGGAAAAAAAAACACATTGGATCTAGAGTCCAGACTCTTAAAAACATCGACAAGAAAAAATACCCTTGATTCAATCAGATTTAAGCTTAAATCAAAAGGAAATCCGCTCAAATTAAGAGGCTTGGTTCTTGATTTTAGCTTAAATCTGATTGAATCAAGAGTATTTTTTCTTGTCGATGTTTTTAAGAGTCTGGACTCTAGATCCAATGTGTTTTTTTTTCCAGTGCAAGAGACCCTCTTCTGCGGGATGATTGTTGAAATTGGTAGACGTAGCGGTAGACGAAGAGGACTTAGGGTGCATGGAGCAATCCTATTGGTTGAAATGAGTGGTTGCTCATTTCATAGTTGCTGGACTCTAGATCCAATGTGTTTTTTACCCCAGGGTGTCTCTGCAATCAAAAGCTCCTTATTTGATCGATGTCATTTTCCCCCCAGTGCACCATCATTCATTTGTTTCCCCCGAATGAGCAACATCACTAGTAAACGCTGCACGCGCTGAGATCTCACTGCCCGGCGGCGGGGAGCTTTGACGAGTGAAATCGCCTCCGGACCGGGGAACAAAGAGCTTTTCGAGTGCGGGCCCTGTAATTGCGGCGGAAACCACGGCGATGGAGCGCGGGCGGATTAATTATGAAAATTCAGGAGCAGAAATCTGTGGACTCGACTCGGGGCTAATTAGATTGGTGGTCTAATCCCAGGTGGAGGCAGCGCCGGAGTCCTGATTCCTGATTATTCCTCCTCCTCCTCCGAGCTCTGGGAACCCTCTGGCCTCTGCGGATCGCGCAACTCCGGCTCCGCTGATATGATTTCCCCTCACCGTCGCCGACCCTGGCTATGACCACGCTTAGACAGCTCAAGCGTCATCAACGAGGGACCAGAAAAACCGCCGGTACTGTCTTACTTGCAATTTTCAGCCTGCATTCGTCAAGAAAGTGAAGCTGTCTCTGAAGTGGCAGATACGCCTGTGAGTTACGAGTAATTGTTGAAAGTAAAACACCAATAGGAAGCCAGGATTTCGATCCGCTGGGAGAAACTTTTTTCGGGGACAGTCACAAGGCCATATTGTAAAAAAGAGATAAAAGGATCCAGGATTTCAGTCTATTGGTGTTTCACTTTCCACAAGCGATTGTAACTTGCAGATGTATCTGGGCCTTAAAACCAGGAGCCTTATACATACAATTTACATTCCAACGCTCACGACTGAACTCCATTTTAACGTTGCAAAATTTACCCTCGCAATTGTTTTTTTTTCTCACGTGAAAACTGCCGGACAATTTTTTTTATTATTACACTGATTTTTCGCCGGATTACACGCATTTTAACAAAACTTACATAGTTACTTATAATCCTGTCAAAAATTGAATCAATTTAGCCAATTTTGCAACTTCTTAATGGATTTTTGTTCCATTGACTAAGAAACAACGTATTGAATCGATTTTTTTGCTGAAGGGCGTAAATGAATTGCGACGTTTACAGATCGCCAAGGACAATTTATTTTTGTACGAATGGACGTGACATCTGAGAAAATTTTCCTTGGAAAAATGGAAAAGGTGAAAATTTGGTGAAATTCGCAACGAGATTTTCTCGTAGTTCATCTGCAAGAAAATGCACTGTTCGTGGTAGTTTTGAACTTCAGCCTCTGTGAAAAAAAGAAAAATCGGTGATAATCGTGCAGTAGTTTATGGAGCAACAATCTTTTTCCATGCAGGTAGCAATAATTATGACCACCTGCATGGAAAAATTTGTTGCCGCATAAAGTGGCTAGCTGAGAGGCATCTTGTGACCGCAGGGTTCTTACGGTAACTACCTCAACAGTACATCCAACTACACTGGTTGTCACTACAACTACTTTGGCAGCGACCACCGGGGTGCCTAGTAGATCACAAATTTTGTGCTTGTGACCGCGCAAATTATGAACGAAACGGCAAAAGCTTGGATTAAGGCTCTCTCTCAGAGACGGCTTCGTTTTCACACTGTCTGTATCTACTAACGACTTTACTCACATCATTTTTACCAGTGGCGTGGCGTGCTTTGCGATATATCGATTGATCGACCGCATTTAAACCTATGGAAAAGTATCGATAAACAGGGTGTTCGCAGCGGAAACCTTGATCATCGATTATATACCACAGCTTTAAATGGAGAAATATCGATGGATCGCAAAGCACGCCACGCCACTGATTTTTACGAGTATTTTCATTAGGAATTTTTTGGGTGACTTGCATGTAACAAACCTGCATGGGCTCACAATCGATAAAACTTTGCTTTAATTTCTACATGGTCACTCGTAAGATGATTTTATTGCAGGTGTTCTATAATATTTTTTATGATTAAAATTCTTCATCGGCGCTCACTAATCCTGTTCTAACACTCAAAGGCGTCTCAAGGTTTTGGTCATTATAACTTAACATTAATCATTAACACCTTAATGAGCGGGAATCTGAAGTATCTTTACTATTTTTACCGTCAGAGCTTTTGAAAATGTGCGGAATTCTCCATTGGGGCCGTGAACTGCCCTGCCATTTCGCAATATTTCGAATTCAATCAACTGTCGATAAGAGAAGGGAGAGTCTCGAGGTATAAACCTTGGTAATTAAGTTACTCTCTTGCTCTGTATACCCCCGGTAGTTAAGTTGGGTGGATTCGATCGTCGTTTAATCGTCCTATTCATGTTGAACTTTCGGTTCTTTATCGTTCGATCGTCGAACTTTAAGTTCGTGCTTTCTGTTCGGCTCAATCCTAAAGTTCTGTTTAACGAACAAAAGGTTCGGTCGTTGTGGAGTACCCAACCAGGGTTCGCGAGCGGAGGGGAGCAGAGGAGAGGAATCGACCAAATACTGTCCTCGTCGAGCGTAAACCCTCGTCCTCGAGGTTCTAGGGAAATCCTCAACGACGCGCCAACGACCTAATGAGGAATTGGTGCAATACCTCGTCCACGCGTTCCCTCCGAGCGGAGGAATAGACCCAATTCCTCGCCGCGAGGTTTTGGCTGAATTTTTCGGCAAATGTTTCAGCCAATTTTGTTCGCATTTTTATCTAAAATATCTGAAAAGTTCAAGTAGAAATATGAATAAATTTTCTCAAAAATACTTGTTTTATTCGGAGAAATTTGGCAACTCTCGAAAGTTTATACGGCGTTCCTCCATAGCATAGCATGGCAGAATTCTAGTATTGCCTTACGCAGGCTCAGGCCCTCCTCCTCCTCCTTCTAAAGGGTTACATCTTTTACAAGGAGCTTCTTAAGTTCGAAGGGTGAGGGGACTGTTAGTATTGGACGTAGAAGCTTTGTCTTTGGATCCAATTATTTTTTGCTCATCGTTAAGAATCAACCATCATAACACGATTACGAGACTGGCGGCGGCGCAACTGACCCATCATCAGGAGGTCGGGATCAATGCGCCGGCCGGCTCCTCCGTGGCCGATGGAACGTATGAGCGAAGGACCGCGTGCTTGTGTAGTTACAAGTTGGCCGCGTGTTGGGCTCATGCGTTTGTTTTCATAATAAAGCCGTGAGAATGGACTCATCGAAGAGGGCCCACGAGGAAATCCAGGGCCTCGAGCCTCGAGCCATTGCCAGCTTTAGACGGAATCCCCGGCCTTGAGCGAGGAATCGAATTCGGAAGACTTTTGGAGCTGCGCCCGGATCCTCTATGACCACACGGAAAAAAATAAATTGCTGATTCAACTATTCAATTGCTAAAAACAGTGAGTGCAATGTTTTAACGTAGATTTTACAACAAAAAAATGCTCCTCTAACCACATTGTAAACTAATTCACCACGGGGGTGGTTAAAGTAGCATTTTTTTGTTGTAAAATCTACATTGAAACATTGCACTCACTGTTTTTAGCAATTGAATTATGGAATCAGCAATTTATTTTTTTCCGTGCAGCCTTCCGTCAAATACACAGAGAGACATTGCAACACAAAAGTTTGGTTAGTACGGGAAGTAAAACACGCAATAACCCCAGCCTTCAGTTGACAATTTTAAAAGAAAATTTCAGCTAATTTTCTTGAATTACTTAATTTCATGAAAAACGAGTGGTGGATACCAACGCTGCAATCGGAGGAATGCACTCTCTCAGTCTTTTCATTGTTTTTTGTGCTACATTCACCTCGAACTGTACCAAAATCAACACAAACTTTGTGTCGGTTTGCGTTTCACTTCCTATATTAACCAAAAGTAACACAAGAACAATATTTTTGTAAGTGTAGGTCGGTTTCATATACTCAGAGACAATAATACATTTTAGAGACCTCGCGCTGAGGATCATAGCAATGCGATCGAGTGGAGATCTTCAGTTGTTAAGCGACATGTTCCGTATGAACTTAAATGTTTAGATTTGTGAACTGTATAATCATGGACACCTTGTCAGAATACATTTTGAGACGGTTTTTTTTTCCTAGCCTGGCGTTAAAGTCTCCGGAGAAGCTCTATTTATGTCACGTCGCGTCGGTACAAAACTGTCATAAAAGGATTGTAAAAAAATTTTTAAGACGGTTTTTTTTCTTAGCCTGGCGTTAAAGTTTCCTGAGAAGCTCTATTTATGTCACGTCGCGTCGGTACAAAACTGTCATAAAAGGATGTTAAATTTTTTTTAAAACGGTTTTTTTTCTTAGCCTGGCGTTAAAGTCTCCTGAGAAGCTCTATTTATGTCACGTCGCGTCGGTACAAAACTGTCATAAAAGGATGTTAAATTTTTTTTCTTTTTACTTTTTCTTTTACATTTTACAGATTGACCAGAGTACTATACTGCTAAAATATATGGATCTGTATTCATTATTCCCATAACGCACTTGTGAGATAGGTCTGCACTCCCAAAAAAATTACGCAACGCTTTGTTCGTACTGCACTCCCGTTCAAACTGTGTTTTGTGATACATTTTAGACAAAAAATGATCACTTTTTGCTGGTCTCTCATCTCGTATCTTCGAAAAATCTGCATCACTCGCCAAAAACGGTATGCAATGCAACCCTGAACAATTCCCTCTCCTCTGTTACGCAACTGTAATGCAAGCTCGGACCTCCTCCATAGAGCGTCGACTATTTTATGGACAAACAAAATATATTTCAGAGACCAGTGGCTTGGTGTGCTCTGCACCAATAATACAACAGGAACAAAATAGGGAACCAATCAGAAATGAATTTGCATTATCTTTACTCTCAGTATAGAGGGGCTCTAGGAAAGAGATGTAGGAAAACCTAACCTGAATATGCAAACAATGCCGCAAACTGATGTCAATATTTCCAAAAAATATTTCCTCCCTGACAAATCAAGTGCGACCGAAAATCTGCGATTTCGGAAATCGAAAGACGCGATGTTTCGACTTGTATCATCCGTTTTTATTCCAGTTTTGATACCAGAAATGGCAGCACCGACTCAATGACGACTGGCAATGGGCCCCGTGTAAGCGTGTACCTACTTCGTGTTCCTCGTTTTATATGAGTCACTTTTGTCTGCGTTTTCTGCGTCTGACTCATAAAGAGATCACCGCTCGATCCTATTTATATTCATCGATTTCCTTTTCGTTGTTATTTTCCGATCGATTTTCTCTCTGCATTCATCGATGAAATCGAGCTTTCCCTGAATGAGTCGGAAAATGAGATCTACGTAGAATTTTCTTCGATAGCGAATGTCAGAAAATGTGTATCTTAATGTGTGATTTGCAGATTTCTTATGACACTCTCCTCCAGGAAAAACAAAGCACATACGTCTTGAAAACCGTTCAAATAAATTATGTAAGGCATTTTTGCTAACTTTTTGACTCCCCCTCCCCTCTGTAAGGCACTCGCAAGAAATATCTGACCCTTATTTTTAATTACGTAATATTGGCAGGGAATCTTCTATTTTTTCAGAAAAAAAACGTAGAAAACCTGGTAAAATAGCTGAA